TGTTGTGAAGTTGGTATCCGGAAATTTGAGTAATTCTTGACATATATGTGGTCCTGGACTGTATTCACCTAGGACAAAATGCATTCTAAGAAAATCAATCTCCTTTTGAGCAAGAACCATCTTTTTTGCTGAGAGCATGATTCCGTACTGTGTTACCAATGCCTCAAATTGACGAAGCAAGTTGATATGTTCCTCCAATGTATAACTAAATAACAGGATGTCATCAATGTAAACTAAAGAGGTATGGGGGATGGGTTGGAATATTTTTATCATGGCTTTTTGGAACAAAGAAGGCGCAGTTTTTAACCCGAAAGGCATGAATTTCCATTGGAAGTGATGATCGGGGATGCAAAATCCCGTTTTGGGTCTTTCTTCAGGGTGGATTCCCAATTGCCAAAATCCTAACTTTAAATCAAACTTTAGATCAAATTCCAAAATTTCTTCACATTCTTTCTTTGCAAGCTGAAGATGATCTGGATTCATCCCTGAATGACTGGCTTTTGTTGGATTGATATTTTCATTTTTCTTGAAAGGGAGCTTGATAAAAAACTCTTCGTTTTTCCATAACGGGCGTTTCCCTTTCTTCATGAAATCCTTGTGGGATTCGGCACATGATTGTTCAATGAGATTTTGCTCAATCTCTTTGATTTGTTCGTCATTGGTGATTTGGAATAGCCTTGGAATCTCAGAATAAGGTCTGAACTGCTTTTTAAAATCTATCCCGTTGGCCCTGATCTGGAGTTGATCTCTAAGTTGTATGTAAATGTCGAATCCAATAATAAGATCCTTTCCAGGTACATCAGATCCTAGCAGCTTGGTTCTGTACTTCAATCCTGGAAAGAACTCAATTGTGATCGGGTGCTTTATAATGACAGTTGTGGTCAAGATTGCATTTGATGCAGTGTTGAAATCCTTAAAATGCGGTACCCATTGATCTTCCGGGAGAACAACAGGATTTATAAGTGAGGAAGCAGCTCCGGTGTCGATGAAAGCAATAACTCGAGTTGGTTTATCCCACTTGGATGAATAAACTTTGAGTTCTACTTGAGGAACGACTGTGAGCGCATCGATCTCCTCTTGGGCTTCGATCATTGGTTCTGGAATTTGGTAATGATCATTGCCTTGATCCTCATAGATATCAAGAGAGAATAAAGTTTCTTCATTGGGTTCATCATCCACAGAGAATATGGATTCAAGGTCCTCTTCCTTTCCGAGATGTATGCCGGTGTAATCTTCAATTTCTTCAATCAGTTTGACAAATCTTCTTGATTGTGGACAATTCTTAGCAAAATGTCCAATCTTATGACAAATAAAACATCTGTTTTTCTTGTGAAAATTTCCTGGCCTTCTTTGTCTGAAATATTTTGTGCGTCTCTTGGACCTTGATTTCCCATCTGAAATTCTTGGCCATTTGAACCTCCTAAATTCTCTCCGTCGCCTAGATGTGCGGCAGGAACATCCTGATCCGGTGATTAGATTAGATTTGCGGCATGCTTTGTCAAGCGCTGGATTGTGTTGGATAATTTGTTTTAGGGCAGAGCGCTTCCTACAAATATCATCCAATGCTACAAAAATAGCTTTCCTGATGTAACCAATTTGTGGGATTGTTATGGACTGAAACTTTTCTTCAATGATGGTCATGGTTCGACTTGCCAGCAACTTTGGAAGGGAAGATACAAAGGCTTGCTTTAGATTGATGTCTCCACCGATCTCGAAGTATATCTTCGCCATTTTTTAAAAATATCTATCAGTGTCATTTCTGTCGAATGACACACACTTCATCTCAAAGAGTTGTCTTCGCATTTTCTCCTGTCTTTGGCCAGTATCTCCGCAGAAAACTTCATGTAGGATCCTGATGTTGAAGGCAAAATCTTGGGAAGTAAGAAAAGTATTTTTGTCTTGGATTCCACGTGAGTTCCACCAATCTCTAAGAATTCTTGAGAACCGTGAAGTGAATTCTGAAAGGATGATATACTTTTCTCGTTCAACCAAATTTTTTGTCACCATCCAAGTATAGAAGTCTTGGATCCTTTGAGGCCATTTTGAAACATTGACGTCATCTAAGGTGAAAGTGTGGAAACCAGTTCCAACTGGTTTTGACGCCATTGGCTCATATCTTTTTTCTGGGATTGGTTCATCTGTCATGCCTTCTTGTTCCTCATCTACTTCAGATATTTCTGGGTCTCGTGGCTGGTTTACAAATATTGGGGGATCGTCTTCTTCGGCAGAGTTCGCTGTGGATTCATTGCTTGATTGAGAGCTATCTTCCATTGTTTCATCTTCTGATGAATTTAGAGATTCCGACCATGGAGTATCTTCCTCTGATGTGTATCTTGGCTGGGAGACATAGAGGCCTGGAGCCTTCTGGTTAGAAATCATCAGATTTTCGGGATTCGATCCTTTTGAACTTTCTCCTTGGTCTCACCTTTTCTTGGTTTGTTTCTGTGCTGCAAGGGCATCTTTCCTTTCCCAAACCATTTTTGCGATATCAAAATCATGTTCTTCTTTTGCTGGTTGGGTGAAAGAGATAAGATTTTGTGAGGTAGATGGAAATGTAGAAAAGGTATAGTCCAACTTAGGCGGGGAATATGCTTGTGGGGACATAGGGAAGAAGGTAGGCTTTGAAGGGAAAACTGGGGGTTTTTGTGGCTCAAAGTGTTCATTTCTCAAAAGTTGGATTTGTTCCTTGATGGAAATCGTCTCTTTTTGTTGTTGTTGGAAAAATTGGAAAAGCGAAGTTCCTGGCGGACAAATCTCATATTGTAAATTTGCTAACCTTAGTTCCAAAGCTTTGATTAGTCCGGCATGGTGAGACGATGTCTGCTCCATTTTCTTCTCAATTGTTTCCACTTTGCTCATCATTTTGTTCTGTGTATGGGCCACATTCTTTATGGTGTTGCCAATGTTGTTCAGGACTTTGTTTTGGCAGATGGAGTTTTCTGATTGCCAATTTATTGTTGCTTCAATGTCACTCGTTGGGGGTTTTTCTCCAGAAGGTAGTACTATGTTTTTCTTGGGGATTTTTGGGGCATCACTGATACCCTCTTTTTCGAAAGATTGAAGTGGAGGAAAATCTTGGGAGTGGCTGGAACTTGAAGGACTCATCATAAATATTTGCGGATATGCAGACTTTTGGGTTGATGGAGTTTTAGGTTCAGGTTACTCTTTGGATTCTGGGTTACGAGCTGATGGTGGTTTGGGTTTTGGGGTGGTTTCACTATCATCCCAACTTGGAGTGAATTTTTCTGGTAATTTTGGCCATTCCTGGGGTTCATAACTGACAAGAAATTCATATTTACCTGGACGACTTAATGAGCCAATTGAAGGATCTTTATTTTCATATTTGGCTCGAAATTGTTTTTCAGTAGCTTTCTCCTTTTTCTTGGATTTTGGTTTGCGCTGGTGATGTTCATCATATTCTCCAATTGGATCTTCTAAACAGTCTTGGCAGGTGCAATCAAGATCCCATGGGCAGTGACCAGTGAAGGGGCATTTGAACCACCACATTCTTTTTCCTTCTTTGTCAAAATATTGGCACCAGTCATGTTCTTCCATGATGCTTTGTATATTCCAGAAAAACTCTCCATCAGGTTCTGGGTATGTATCTGTGGTATCTTTGGGTTGAATCATTTGGCAAGAGAAGATGGTTTTATTGGGTTTTTTGAGATGGGAATGGTCAAAGCTTATACAAACGGTTTTGTCACTTCTTTTGGTAAAAGTTGGTTCACCAGATTGCAGAGGTTCTTCAGGTTCCCTTAGCTTTTCGTAATTTGTGATCCAAGAGTCAGGAAGAATTTTGACTAGCTCATCTCTGGAAATCTGTCTGGGTATTTGGGTGCACGTGGTGTTTCCTTTGGTAGCGTCAATATTTAAGAGTAAAGCATTTTCTCCTCCGGGGTAGACAGAGATCCATGGCATGATTTTGGACTCGCCATGCTATTTGGTGGTGAATAGTAGCTTGGATGGAATCTTTGGCTTGTGGGGCTCCTTGGATTTGGACTTGGATTTTTAGAGCTTCGGTTAGGTATGGGTCATAAAGGGACATGTTGAAATTTGGAAGATAGTTATGAAGATTGTCCCGGCATTTAAGGTAACTTCTGTAGTACCCAAATTGGCATGTTGGTACTCCAAATATCTTGTATCTAGAAGAGAAAGTCGAGCTACGACAGGTTGACCTTTTCTTCCGTGGTATGTTAAAGCGATTCGGATAGCACCAAAATGAATATGGGTAAAACCATGATCTCTCCATTGTCTGGGAAAATCATCTGGTATTTGAAGAGTGATAAATTATTCCTCTTGAGTGGCAAGAATAGGATGCTGGTCAAGTTTTGAGGCAGCAACATATTCTTTAACTCCTTTTGGTCTATGTTGGACTAAGGAACGAATTTGGGTCCAGGGTGCAAAGGATTTTTTGGCAAAAGCTGAGTAAGGGTTTATGAGGTGTAGTTCAGTGGAGGATACTTTTTGTTCATCAGGTAGTATATCTACTTCATAGAGGTAATCATATTTTTTGGACAAGGTTTTATATAGAGTAGGGGACATATTCATTTTTGCAAGGGAAGAGGATGATGGAAATGACTCAGACATATTTAGTAAACTGTTCCTCCCTTCGAAAGGATGGGCTGGCTCTGATACCACAGTATTAGACAGAGCAAGAGACTCCAAGAAAGCAAACTAAATCATAGATACGAAAGTTTCCCTACAAAGGGGCTGGCTTCAACAACTCATAAGGGACGGCTTGCCAAGCTACACAAACAGTTAACGTTGATTATAGTACAAAAGTTTTCCTAAGCTTCAACTTAAGAAATCTCACTCCAGTTTATAATTTTCCACAAGTTTGATATACTCACATTGGATCAACATGCAGCACAGAAAATAAGAAGTTATCCCTATTCAAGCGTATAACTGAAAAGAAGAAAATAGTAATTTGTTGCCCCCAAATCATAGCTACAGAAAACATAAGCAGATGAATACAAACACAAATTGACGAGTTGAAAATTTCAGAAGAGAACTGCTTTTTGGGCATAATTTACCTGCAATAAGATAAAGACATTTACTTAAAAACAATAGATTGACAAACCGTAGTCATTACAAGTGTTGGGATGGCGCAAATTTAACTTATCAAATCGATCAATATCATCTTTGTTAATTCTATGGATTGAGCTATGTGAACCTTAGCTGAGAAAAAAAGGAATAGAAGAAGGAAATGAGCTAAAGTAGGAAATGCCTGATTATGTTAAAACTGTTCATACACTATACAAACAACCCCTATTTATAGAAAATGACTAACCGACTTTGTACATCTAACTACCTAGTGTCAAATAGACTAAACTACCTTTAGTTTGATACACATTAATTCACCCCTCTCACAACACTCCCCCTCAAGGTAGGTGGTGTAAATACATCAAACACACCTAGCTTGAAACTCAAGTATTCATGCTGAATTCTGCTTAATCCCTTTGTCAACAAATCGACCTGTTGTTCTCTTGTCCCAACATACTTGGTCGCAACCAGTCGTTCCAATATCTTCTACCTTATAAAATGACAATCTATATCAATATGCTTTGTTGTTCATGAAATATTGGATTTTCCACAATCTGTATTACTACCTTGCTGTCCCAATGAATGTTCACAGACAACTGAACCTCATTTCCTATCTCCTTTATCAACCCCACTAGCCAAACCAATTCAACAACTGTGGCTGTCAAACTCTTGTATTCTGCTTCAGCAAAACTTCTAGATACTGTTGTCTGCTTCTTAGACTTCCAAGACACTAACGAACCACCTAGCTTGATCAAGAAAGCTGTTACAGACCTTCTAGTGTGTTGGCATACAGCCCAATCTGCATCACAAAATCCCTCTGATGTGCCTGTGGTTTTGCTGGACATCAATATGCCCTGCCCAGGATGGTTCTTTACATATTTAACAACTCTCATTGCTGCCTCCATATGTGACCTCTTTGGTTGCTGGAGAAACTGACTTAGCACCTGCACACTGAATGCCAAGTTAGGCCTTGTCACAGTCAAATACAGCAGCTTTCCTATTAGTCTTTGATAAACACTTGGATCTGGTAGTAGCTCATCTACAACATCACTTGAAGTACCAAGATGATCATCATACTCCTTGGTAGTCAACTTTGCATTCACTTCTAGTGGAGTGGCTACAGGCTTTGCTGCTCCAAGTCCAAGTTCAGAGATAATCTTTAAAGCATATTTTCTCTGATGCATAAGAATCCCATCTGCAGATCTGGCAAATTCTATTCCTAGAAAGTACTTCAACTCTCCCAAGTCTTTCATTTTGAATGCCTGTTATAGTGCTGTTTTTCTCTCTTTAATTAGATGTAGATAGGTACCAGTGACTAGCATGTCATCTACATACACCAGCACTATCACTGTGCCTTTAGTAGTCTACTTGATGAAGAAAGAGTGATCATATTGGCGCTGAACAAAGCCAAACTGATATAAAGCTTCTGTGAGTTTCTCATTCCACTATCTAAGGGCCTGTTTCAGGCCATATAAGGATTTATGAAGCCTAAAGACTGGTTGAGACACCCCCTGGCTTCTGAATCCTGGTGGCAATCGCAAATAGATCTCATCAAAGAGATCACCCTGAAGAAAAACATTATACACATCCATCTGATGAATGTGCCACTTCTGAGTTGCAGCTATTGATAGAACAGTCCTCATAGTCACCATTTTCACTACAGGTGAAAAAGTCTTCTAATAATCAATCCCCTCTTTTTGATTGTACCCTTTAGCTACCAACCTAGCCTTGAATCTCTCCACTTTATCTGATGCCTTGTATTTAACCTTATATACCCATTTACAACCAATTGGAACCTTGCCTTCAGGAAGAGAGACAATGTCCCAGGTGTGATTGCTTTCAAGTGCTTCAATCTCTGCCTTCATAGTATCTATCCACCTAGGATCTTGACTGGCTTCATCATATATAGTAGGTTCTACAATAGAGAAGGCTGCAAGATAAGCTTGGTATTTAGGAGACAGGACACTATAGGAGACATCGTTTGCAATTGCATATGGTATAGCCTCATGCACATCCAGTGATACAAAGTCCTTCATCCAAATAGGAGGATTCTTTGGCCTGGAGGATCTTCTAACTTCTTCTTCTACAACTGAAGGGATAGATGACAGTTGTTGAGTAGATGGAACCTACACTTGACCCTGATCAGAACTGTCTCCAGTTGGATGAGCCATGATTGATTCTCCTTCACTCTCACTTGCAGCATTATTGTCATGAACATTTTCATTTGTATCACTGGGCACATCTCCTATATCTGAGTGTGTCAACTTAGCCTCATGCTCACTGTTGTGGCTCATATAAGAAACTGCTGGGACCCCTGACAGCTGAGTATAGTCTGCAGGAACATCTGATTGTAGGAAGATTTGTATATATTTATTTCTTGTATGTCTAAAAGGAAAGACAATCTCTTTGAAAACAACATCCTTGTTAACAAAGAAAGAATGATTATTTAGGTTTAAAAGTACATAGCCTTTCTGAGTTGCAGCATAGCCCATCAACACTGCTGGTATAGCTCTTGACATAAACTTGTCCTTCTTTTGAACTGCTTTGGCATAGCATAAGCATCCTAGTACTCTGATATGTCGTAATGAAGGTTTCATGTGGTGCAACTTCTGAAAGGGTGACACTTCATTTGTAACTGAAGAAGGCATCCTGTTGATTATGTGTACTGCAGCTAGTACATAGTGTCCCAAGTATTTCAGAGGTATATGAGCTTGAAATCTCATCGCTCTAGCGACCTCTAAAATATGTCTATGCTTCCTCTCAGCTACACCATTTTGCTGAGGAGTATATACACAGGTTCTTTGATGAATCATTCCAAGATTGCTACACAGATTACTACATATTGAATTCACAAATTCCAATTCATTGTCTGTCCTGATAATCTTAACACACTTGTTATGCTGTGTTTTTACATAACACAAGAAGAATTTTAAGAGCACACATATATCTGACTTATACTTCAGCAAAAATAACCATGTCATTCTTGAGAAGTCATCCACCAAAGTTAGGAAGAATTTATTTCAATCAAATATAGGCAATCTATAAGGACCCCATACATCTGCATGTATCAAATCAAAATACTCTGTGCTTTTAATATTGCTGCTAGGAAAGGAAGTCTAGTATGTTTAGCTAATGGACATGCATGACAATTGTCCACAGTTGTGACACAATTCTGAGTTTTAACAGGGAACAACTTCTATAATACTACAGAAGATACATGTCCTAGTCTCATATGCCACAAGTCAATATCCTGCTTTTCCTTAGGTTCTGTAGTGTCCTTGACTCTGGATTGCTCTTATTTTTGTGAGGGATCAACATATAGAGGCCATCATGTTCCTTGCCAATCTCCTTCACCCTCCCACCGTAGAGATCCTGAAATAGGCAAAAATCAGGATAAAAAGCAACACAACATTGTAAGTCTTTGGTTGCGTTGGATACTGAGAGTAGATTATATCTGAATCTTTGGACATGTAGGACATTTTTAGTACACTTCTTGCTGAAATTGGACTAGTACCCATGTGTGTAACATAGACTACATCTCCATTTGGCAGGTATACCTTCTTAGGATTACTAGGTTTGATCTCTTCTGATATAGATAACAGATTTAAGTCAGACACCATATGATTAGTAGCCCCTGTATCAATGATCCACTCTGGGGGGGGGGGGGCTTATTACTCACTAAAAAGACACAACTAGTACCTGTTGTGTGTGCCATATTTGCTTAGGGAGCAGTCAGAGAACTTTTGTTCAGCATTTGTAAGATCTATTCATATTGTTCCTTAGTAAATGTACATGCTACTAGTTGTCTTCCTGATGAGCTATCTCTTGAGGTTGAGGGCTGCCTCTGCATTTGTACTCCAGACTGAGTTGAAGTCTGCATTTGTTGAGACTGATTCTGCACCTGCAAAAATGGTTGTACCTAATTATAGAAGGTCTTTTGGATCTTCAATACAAACATTATAAGTTGCAGGTCCCCTTTTCTTCTTAGATTTGAAATCTTGTCGATAACCAATGATCTTCCAGCAATTCTCCTTGTCGTGCCCCTTCTTCTTACAGAAGTCACAATAGTCACTGTAGGTTCTTTTCTGCTTAGAGTAATTTCTAGACTATTGACAATTGTTTGGCTGAAAGTTATTAGGCTGAAAACTAGGTTGGAAATCACTAGATCTGGAGGAATATAGGGCAGTTGACTCATAACTTTCAGCTGGAATAGGTGATGTCAATCCTAAATTTCCTGTTGCGGCAACTATAGACTTCTGGTTTTCATCACTCATAATCATAGAGAATGCATGATTAACTGTAGGTAAAGGTACATCAATAGTATTTGACTCCTTGCTTAAGCATAGGAGTCGTTCAATCCCTTAAGGAATTGGTACAACTTTTGTCTCTTCATAAAAGCAACATAATCTCTGGACTTCTCACAATCACATGGAGCGGGGACTAAAGCTTCAAACTCATCCCAGAGGTCCTTCATCTTAGTGTAATAAACAGAAATAGATGATGTACCTTGATATAGGGTTGCAATTTCCTTGTGTGGATTGAATGACCTAGATCCATCTACTTTGTCAAATTTCTCTCGCAAATCCTCCCAAACAGCCTGTGCACTAGCTCCAAATACCACTCCTCCAACAAGCTATGGAGTTACAGCATTCATCAACCATGAGAGTACAATTGCATTGCACTTCTCCCATTGTTCCCATAGATTTTCATGAATTTTTTCCTTTTTCCATGTTCCTTCTACCAACCCTAGCTTATTTCTTCCTCGCAGAGCTATCCTCATAGATCGATTCCATATAGTGTAATAGTCAGTACATGTTAATTGAAAAGAAATTAATTGTGCTCCACTCGTATCTACCGGTCTAAGGTATTATGGATGATTGTGAGGCAAATCAACTCCGGACTCCTCATTAGCTAGAGTATTTCAAATTCCTGTATCTACACCTGTGGCGACATTATCCATGGAGTTGTTAACAGCATCTCCCATGGCTATTCTGCTTTAGTTGACGAGGCTTCGATTCTTCGATTAATTTTTCCTAAATCTCACAATTTCACCAATGGCGATGTGAATCGATGAATGAGACTAGTGATTCCTAGTCTTACCGCTCAGACACCATGTTAATTCTATGGATCAAGCTATGTGAACCCTAGCTGAGAAGAAAAGGAATAGAAGAAGGAAAAGAGCTGAAGTAGGAAATGCAGAAACTGATTCTGGTAAAACTGTTCATACGCTGTACAAACGATCCCTATTTATAGAAAATGACTAACCGACTTTGTACATCTAACTACCTAGTGTTAAATAGACTAAACTACCCTTAATTTGTTACACATTAAGTCACCCCTCTCACACAGTATTTTTCGATCCAAATGAAAGACAAAGAGATTAATTAAATAGTTTGATGAAGTACAAGTCCATTTTGCCGTTTAATCTTGCATGGCATACAAAATGAATTACTACCTCAAGATGGTTGAGGCAAAGAAGCGTTGGCTTGGCAGACGATGAATTCATTCGCATTCGATTACACAAGCAAATAAATATAAAAGAAATCTGCCATATAAAATTTTTATCACTTATGATTAACCGATGTATATTCTTACTTTAATTTATAATTTTGTGATTAAATTATTTAAATTAATATAAACGTGACGAGTGACAGCTGGAGTTTTATATTGTTTTAGAATGTATTACGAGTCTGGTGTGTATAACAAGATAGAGATGCAAGATAATGTGATATCATGAATACATTATCGACTTTCCTATAAACTAACCAGATATGTCTCTTCGGAGTTAATGCTGGATTGATCAGAAAGGTTTACATGATGGACAGCCCCAGCATGGGTGACTATGGCAACCATATGTCCTCACTCCGCAGTATTATGCTTTACCGTTATGTACGTGTTGATAATAATAATAATAATAATAATAATAATAATAATAATAATAATAATAATAATAATAATTGGCTACAACTGGGTGATTCAAACACCTCATACTTCTTTGCAAATGTCAAAAGCAGAGCTGCACATAATCAAATAAAGAAACTGATGAACTCAACTGGGCAGTGGATCCAAGGAGAAACTGCGATTAAAGAAGAGATAATAAAATTCTATAGAGGCTTGCTTGGGACAGCAACACCCCAATTACCTGATGTTCATCTTGAAGTATTCACTAGGGGTCGAATATTGAGCAGAAGCCAACAGATGCACTTGATAACCCCAGTGACACCCGATGAAGTATATGCAGCTTTAAAGGGAA